TGCCAGCACGACGACAGGAGGCAATTGTCGACCTTGCTTCTGGACGCGGTGGATCGATAATACCGTACAAGCCGATAACCGTCAGGTCTTTGGTACAGTTTGTCTTGATCTCATCCCCAAAATAGTTGGAGCCAAGTGGCGCTTGAGGAGCATATTGTCGCTGACAGAGAAGGATAACTCTCTCGGCCTTCCGAGATAGCTTTTCCTGGAAACCAGACAACTGTCGTTTTGCTGCATCGTTCAGTCGCATAACTCTGTTTTCCTTTGCAGACCAGTACGAGGTACACATTGGGAGAAGGACATCGGGTGCGCCTTTTACAAAAACTTCGTAACTGGACGGATCAACCGTGCCGTGCGGTTTATGCATTGTGAGCATCCACTTGCTCTGCGAGTTGAATGGGATTTGGAACACCCTGTCGGTTTGGGAAACAATACCCTTGGATGCCGACGCCCCTTCTGCAAGGCGAAGAATGGCACAATCTGTTGCGTTGCCGTTGATGGTTCTCTCGTTAAGAGGCTGGCTAAGGGTACCAGGCTCGAAGAAAGCGTCATTGCAGAGAATAGATCCACGATGGAACTCCGCCAGAGCGCTACCACGCTTGCCATTGTTCACTTCGTCGTTGAACTCCTCGATGGTATACTCCTGGTCGACAAGGCCAATCGACTTAACGGTCATCAAGTTCTGAGTCAGTGTTCCAGTTTTGTCAGAGCAGAGGACGTTGACACAGCCAAGAGTCTCGACGGTTGAAAGGCCTTTGGGCAGGATGTTGGCAGACTTCATTCGATGGGCAATCATCATCATTGTGAGAGCGACTCCAACGGGCATACCCTCAGGGATGAAGGCGACCACACATCCTAGAACGTTGTTCAACATCGCCACGACATCCATGAATCCGGCATGTTTAATCCTGATCCAGCCTACCCAGCTAAACAGAAGCAAGGAGGCCAGTACACAAGTCAAACCGACGATAATGCGGACAAAACGGCTGATTTCCTTTTGGATCAATGTCGGCTTCTCTTTGACATTGGTGGTAACCATGGCAATGCGTCCCATGAGCGAGCGACCGCCAGTTAAAACGACTACTCCAACGGCACGGCCATTTGTGACACCAGTACCCATGAATGCAATGTTTCGCGTCTCTAGGAAGTTGTGTTCAGTTGCGTCAAGGGCACCTTCAACTTCGTCGGACTCTCCAGTGAGCACTGATCTGTCAAAGCGGACATCACCAGAACTGGAAATCAACCTCATATCTGCCGGCACCTTGTTACCAGACGAGATGTGAACAATATCACCAGCTACAAGCTCGGTAGCCGGAAGTCGAATGATGTTTCCGTCACGAAGTACCTGTGCTTCAGAGGGAAGAAGGTCGAGGATGGAATTCATCACACGGCTGGTTGACCAGTCCTGGAAGGCCGAGAAACCAGCTTGAAGGAAGATGACAATGAGAACCAGGATGGCCATACCCAGGTTCGCCGGAGAGGGAGGGTTGCTAAGGGGCTTCCAGCAGACAAAAAAGATGATCACACCCACCCACAGGACGGAGCAGAAATCACCAAAGACATATCTTAGGATCTTGCGAAGGTAGTTTGGGCGACGGCGAGGGATTGTGTTTTTTCCATCTCGTTGAAGACGAGCACTAGCGGCCTCGGTGCTGAGACCTTGTTCAGACGAGACGTTGAACTGCTGGCAAAGCCTCTCTCGAGGAAGAAGATGGAAGTCAAACTTCTCGAAGTACTCCTTGTCGGTATGGACGCTTGCACGGCCGGAGTCTCCCTTGACGATCTCGGTGGTGGCACGGCGAGATTCGCTGATTTGAATAGACAGCGTACGGAACTCGATTGGGATACCGGTAAGGGGGTTGCCTCCAGCGCCTCCGCGAGCGCTGCTGAAAGAGTGACGGCTTCTGGAGCGCGACCGACGGCGCTCACGCTCACCAGAGGTACGACGGTTTGGACGTTCATCGTCTCCCTTTGGCTGCTGGAATGTGATGCGTCTGGGGTTTTCAGAGCCGGTTTTATCGTCAGAATCAACCTGACCACGCTCTCCCTTCTCTATATCGGCCGGCTCCTTGTCGTCGCCAGCAGGTGTTTCATCTTGGAGAGGCATTGTGCTGCGATAAGGGGGCTTAAAAAATATAAGACCAGGATAACTTTTTGATCGATTTGAGTGTTAGGAGGCGATTTATTTGAGTATTTGAAAAGACACTTAAGATTGGAGATGGAGGAGATGGTCGCTCAACTTTCAGGGTCGACGCTGGCCGTATTTATATACACTCAGTTGAGCCTACAGCTCGTGACATCCAGCTGCCGACGAGAACCAGGAAACAAAACAAAACTGGTTGTGCGAATGAGAAAAGGGAAGAGAAAAGAAAATTCTACTCCGTACGTTACGACAGCAAGCCAACACCCCCTCCTCTCGCTTCACGGTTAGGCCAAAGGAAGGCTTATGATGATGAAGAACGGCGTACGGGCCGCCTAACTGAGGATAAGTACGGGCAAAGAGGACACCAATTTCCCATTCACGAGCAGTCGAGCTCCATTCTCTATGGTTAGGAAGCGAGCTTAGACAGACATGGATGAATTCCGAGCAACGGCAACGGCAACGCCTCCTGTTGTGTAGGCGTGCGTATGTGTGCGTACGGATGCAACACACCGTCCACGGCCCCCATACCTCCAATCCCAATCCCGACGAGGTTTGATATCGCGAGCTATCAGCTAGCTAGCTAACTAGCCGACTTTAACTAGTCCCTGGCAATAAAATGCCTCATACTATGTACGACTCAGCTTCCTTTTTTATCATATACGGCCTTTGACACTTTGATGGATCATCAAAATATTATTTTATATTTTTTTTTTGATATTAACCCTGTGGCTATTCGCTGGATTAAACTAGCCATGTGGAACCCGCCATGGCTTTCCCGCACGCACGGCCCAGTGTTTGAGCATCATCTCGTGGCGCTTGATCGTGGAAATTGCATGGGTTTGCATGGGTCTCGTCGATATCAACACACACCTCTTGACGCCAGTCCCCGTTTTGGTAGTCCCAGCCGGAGCACACAGCCACAACGCAACGTCCCTCCCTGGATGCCGACGAGTAGGAACGTTTGAGATGAATTCCGGTGCAAACCCTGATCCCGGCACGCCCAGTTTATCGGGAGAGGAGAAGAGAGCAGAGTCAACATGAGATTACGATGGATTCAGCTCGTATTACAATGGGCGGCCTACGCTTGTATGTACTTGCATGATGCCTTATCTCTGACCCTGACAGGTGACATCACAAGGACGGCTGCAATGCAATCCAACCCACAGAACACGCACAGTCACTTCTTTTGATGCAACTCGGAGCATTACAGTGCGAGGCGAGAAAGCAGAAGAGGAAAAAACCCGACTGAATGTGAGTTACAGCTAAGTTTTTAGCCTCCGAATGTAAATATTTAAGCATTTTCAGCAGATGTTCTTCATGAACTTTGATTTCTTCTAGCGTGGCTATCATTCGCTACGAGTCGGCAAAGAGAAGCTTGGATTGGGGGTGATATTGGTTTGCAACCTTTGGGAATAATACAGAGAGCCTTCTAGACAAAACGGGCTGGCTATCCGCCACCGCCATATCTCTGGCCATCCTCAGCGCTGAGAAATAAATGTTCAAAGGGACAGCTATTTATCTGTTTGGCAGTGAAAATTGCATTGCAACAAAGAAGAAGCCCACCTCAAATTCTGGCCCCCCTTTATCGCCGGGGGGGTGTGGCAATTTCGCGCATAATGCAAGATCCGCAGAAGTATGACAATCCCGCAAGGAAGAAACGGAAAATTCTGCGTCTCCATGGTAGGATTTTTTTTTTTTCAAAAGATATTCATACAACCAACCGCAATCCGACTGTGAATAGGCCCGGCTGGACCCTAAAACTCATCAGTGGACCAGGGACACAGCGAGTATAAAACCGTAGATGGAAGGGCGTGGAGAGATTATAACTTCATGGTCAGCCGGTTCCATGGTTTTCTACTTTGCTTGAAAATCACCACAAGTATATATTTTTCTGCGCATTACCAGTCTTCACCTTCTCGACTTCAGGTAGAGTATGATAGTCTCCGCCTTATCATCGTCTTTTCAACTCCCTCGCAGTGAGCTCACGGCTACGGAGTACCGAGCACATCCAAGTTAATACGAGTTGAAGACTGCGAGATCCGATGAAAACTCGTCGTCGAGTCGCTTTACGCGCGGTCAGACAAGTGTGGGATGACATAATCTGACATCATAATGATGACTCATCAATAAAGATCACATGACAACATTATATAACAAACTTCCATTCATGTTACTAAGCATTATTAGATAATGCTATATCATGTGAGATAACACGTGATCTCGGAATATCTCGGACCAAGGCCGCCAGGAGCGGGAGGATCCGGGCTCTGCTCCGCTGTTCCAAAAGAGTAAGGTGTATATACACGTGACCCCTCTGAAACCCGCCCACCACTCTATTTACGAACCCTCCAGGCGATCGGTAGAGAAGGAAAAGAGGCAGAAGAAGAGAAAAAAAGGCCGTCTAGCAAGGAGAAAAGGTCAAAGAAGAAGAAAGGAAGTCCTGCTGTCTCTTTAATACCTCAATTGCGCCCAGATAGCCAGCCGAGACACGCATTGGAGACGCAGGTCAGCATATTAAGTCATCCCATAGAGCCAACTACCTAGTTACTAACTAATGGTTAGGTCTGCCCCTCCATCTTCCCCCACCACCAACTTCTCCCCGACATCCCGGCAGGACAGGATATATAAACCACTGAACCGCCTGGACACTGACCAAGCCCGTCATCTTCACCTACAATCACCACTGACCAACCGACTGAACCACTGCAAACACCGCAGACATGGCCATTACCAAGATCCACGCTCGTTCCGTCTACGACTCTCGCGGCAACCCAACCGTTGAGGTCGACGTCGTCACCGAGACTGGCCTCCACCGCGCCATCGTCCCATCTGGAGCTTCCACCGGTTCGTATCACCGATGACCAGCTGTACACTTCTCTCTTCTGCTGCCATTGAAACGCGTGATATGCTAACAGGACCCGCAGGTCAGCACGAGGCTTGCGAGCTCCGTGACGGAGACAAGTGCAAGTGGCTTGGAAAGGGTATGAGACGCGCCCCCCGTCCTCTTCCTCCCATTATATCAATCAATGGCACAGCTAACAGGGCGTAGGTGTCACCAAGGCCGTCGAGAACGTCAACACGATCATTGGACCAGCTCTCATCAAGGAGAACATCGACGTCAAGGACCAGTCCAAGGTCGACGAGTTCCTGAACAAACTCGATGGCTCTGCCAACAAGTCCAAGCTTGGTGCCAACGCCATCCTCGGTGTCAGTTTGGCCATTGCTAAGGCCGGTGCTGCCGAGAAGGGTGTCCCACTGTACGCTCACGTCTCCGACCTTGCCGGCACCAAGAAGCCATATGTCCTTCCAGTGCCCTTCCAGAACGTTCTAAACGGTGGTTCTCACGCTGGTGGCCGTCTTGCTTTCCAGGAGTTCATGATCGTCCCAAGGTATGTGTCATCAGAAAATTAGCCGCTTCTAGAGACAGTATGCTTACCTTGGTAGTGCCGCCCCATCCTTCTCTGAAGCCCTCCGCCAGGGTGCTGAGGTCTACCACAAGCTCAAGGCCCTTGCCAAGACCAAGTACGGCCAGTCCGCTGGTAACGTTGGTGACGAGGGTGGTGTTGCTCCCGACATTCAGACCCCCGAGGAGGCTCTTGACCTCATCACCGAGGCCATTGAGCAAGCTGGTTACACTGGCAAGATCAAGATCGCCCTTGACGTTGCCTCCAGCGAGTTCTACAAGGCCGACGACAAGAAGTACGACCTTGACTTCAAGAACCCTGAGTCCGACAAGAGCAAGTGGCTCACCTACGAGCAGCTCGCCGACCTCTACAAGTCTCTTGCTGCCAAGTACCCCATTGTCAGCATCGAGGATCCCTTCGCCGAGGACGACTGGGAGGCCTGGAGCTACTTCTTCAAGACCTCTGACTTCCAGATTGTTGGGTATGTGCTCTTTTCTTCTTTCCAGTTGACCAGAGGATGAAGACTAACAAGAGGTAGTGATGACCTGACTGTCACCAACCCCCTCCGCATCAAGAAGGCCATCGAGCTCAAGTCTTGCAACGCCCTCCTGCTCAAGGTCAACCAGATTGGTACTCTGACCGAGTCCATCCAGGCCGCCAAGGACTCCTTTAGCGCTGATTGGGGTGTCATGGTCTCCCACCGTTCCGGCGAGACCGAGGACGTCACCATCGCTGACATCGTCGTCGGCCTGCGCTCCGGCCAGATCAAGACTGGTGCCCCTGCTCGCTCCGAGCGTCTCGCTAAGCTCAACCAGATCCTCAGAATCGAGGAGGAGCTCGGTGACAACGCCGTCTATGCCGGCGAGAAGTTCCGCACTGCCATCAACATCTAAGCGCAGTTTTGCTGCCGATAAGTAAATCGAAACTTATGCCCTGCACGAGAGCTGTCTACCTATACACCAGCCCGGCAACAGTAACCATCCAACGAAGTGACGAACTGGGGGGACGTAGTTAAACAAGCAAGCAACCATGCTGCCAACAAAATATATGTATTAGAGAAATGAACCAAAAAAATTACGAGTTAACCTCGCCCTTATTTTACTCCGTAGTCTCCGGTCTTTGTTTCTCTTATCTCCAGGTCCTGGATGATTAATCATCCACGTGATCCCACCCCGCCAATGACGCTTCGTTGGGCAGAAAAAAAAAGCGACAGAAAAGAAAAAGCAGAAAAAAAAAGAAGAAAAAGACGACGGAACTTCGCACACACGCGAAACGCACAGAGAAGACAGAGAGCGAAAGAAGACGTTTTGACATCGACCAGGTAGTCACCTTTCGGTTAAGCATCCAAGAGATCCTCGATTTGCGATATCCAGCGAACAACCAGCCAGTGCGCCAGCCAACTCCCCCACCACGAACACCCCAGACTCCGTCGACCACCGGTACGACCAGCAGCAGCATTCACAGCCAGTTACCAACAACCATCACGGAATAGAAGAGAGAAAGCGATATCAACTAGAATCAAGAAGAAACAAGCCTCAAAAGTCTAGCAATCATGCCGCCGTCAAAGTGGGGTAAGCATCTCTTATCCGTCGGATGTTCCTGAGAGTGTCCATATTGTCCCTGTTTCCACGCTGTGGCCGTCGTTCGTGGGAGGGAGGGTTTAGTTACCAGGGTTCTCTCGCGTGGATGTGTTGGCAAGCACATCGGCTGCATCATCATACATGAGGCACGAACACCTTGCTTGGTTAAACCTCCGGAAGAGCGGTGAGATTGGGACAAGTGGGATGGACTGGAACTGGCACAGGATGATGACCTTTGAGAGACTGACAGGGGCTGACATGTTTCCTTTTTTCTTTGTTTAGAAGATGAAGAGAGTACGCCTCCATCGTCACCACCACCAGTAGCTGCCGTTGCGCGCCGCAAGTTTGATGACGAAGAAGACAGTGACGATGTATGTGGTCTATTCTTATCTTTAGTTTATGAAGGTATTATCGGCGGACTAACAGGAAATAAACAGGTTCTCGATGACTGGGAGGCTGCCGAGGACAGCGAAGTTGAGCGTGAGAAGGCCCAGAAGGCCGCTGCTGCCAAAGCAAAGGCCGAGGCCGAAGCGTTAGCAAATAAGAAGAGCCGCTCCCAGCGGATAGCCGAGCACCAGGCCGCCGCTGCACGACGACGAGCAGAGCAAGAGTCGGAGGAAGAAAGCGATTCGGAAGAAGACCTAGCCGCCAAGCGTGAGAAGCTACGCCGAACCGAACAAGATGCGGACCTGAAGCATGCCGAAGACCTATTCGGAGACATCGACTTGAACCGCACCCGCAACCGCACCGCACCCAGCAAGAGCGTGATATCAGATGCCAACGACCCGACCAAATCCATCGATCTCGCCTCAATTCCTCTCTTCAAACCCTGCACAAAACCACAATTCACGGCCCTGACCAATGCCCTCGTGCCACTACTGACAGCCCAGGCCAAGAAGCCAGCATATACCCTCTGGCTGCAGGACTTCACCAAGCAACTAGTCAAGGATCTCCCCAGCCAGGAAATCAAGAAGATTGCCAGTGCCATGACGGCTGCCAGCAACGAGAAGCTCAAGGAAGAAAAGGCCGCTGATAAGAGTGGAAAGAAGACCAAGGCCGCTAAGACCAAGACTAGCCTTGTTGCTACTCGTGGAGCAGACCTAAACGCTTATGATGATGTTGGTGACGATCTTGGAGATGATGATTTTATGTGATGTTCTTTTCATCTGCTTCGTTTGATATATCCCTGAGTTAACGATCTGCTAATATCCCTACCTCGCTTTGTTGTTTTGTCCCCCTACCATCTCACATATCTCTCTACCTACTCCGTACGCTCTGCCCATCATCTACAATCTCTTTCTTTTTACGTGTTTACCTCCCTTTCATCAGCAAAAAGTTTAGACCATGGCAATCAAACAGCCATCCAGCAAGCACATTTTACCTATCTACCACAGACCAGATTGAGACAACAGCGTGCCTTACCTACCTATCTATCTCCTTATCTCGCATACCTCCTCCTACCTTCCGATCCAGTTAGCTACGTCTTATTTAGCATGCTAGCTTACTCATTTAGGGTCTCCATAGAACTGTTCGATTAGCTGTATGAACTTCTTCAACTTGATGTCATCCCTGGGTAACCTGGCTGTCTGCCTGTTTATTGTGTTCTTGCATCTTGAATAGAAATATCATACGGGTCCTCGGGTCTGACATGTACGACAGGCTGACGCACGACATCGATGTCTAGATCTATATCTCTGGTCTACCCCTTTATCCTGCACACACATATGTACGCACTGCCAGCGGACCCTTACAAGAGTTAAATGTCCATCTTATCATCCTTCTCTTCCGCTTTTTCTTCTTCCTTTTCTCCTAAATTAAGGAGGCTGTGCCAGTCACATGACATGGGGCTCGAGAAAGAAGGATACGCAGCGCAGTTGATAGAAGCCCGACGGTCAGGAAGATAATACGCGAGGAGACGTCGAAAGCAGATGATAAATGGTAGAAGAGACGGCATGACAAGGCTGTGCGGGTGCCATCAGGCTGTTTGCCAGGGTAACTTAAGAGGGAGAAGAAGCAGAGGGTTGTGTATAGTTATATATAGCAGCGGGAGGTTGACTTATTATCATCTCCCAGCGACGACGGATGACAGGCTGCCTGGCGTTTCATAGGCAGCACGCAGAGTCAGCGACATCCAGGCCAGGCAGACAGGCGCTTAGCTCGGAGACAGGCTGACTCTCGTCGCTCTTCATCGAACAACAGCCGTAGTTAATAGTGGTAAGTAACCAGGCAGAAGAAGGGCCCAGTGAATGTAGATGTATGTAAACGACAGGTAAGCAACAACGCCAGCGTCAGCAGTAACTCGTGTAGCACTCGAGAATAGGAGCAGACAATGGGAGAAGAGGCCACCGGTATGCCGTCACCTCCATCAGGGCGCGTAGAGGCGTAGAGGAGCAAAGGAGCAAAAGGAGCCCTGGCCGGCTGGCTGTCATGTCACAGTTAGCGCTGGGGGGCGCTGCTCTGCTCGCTAACAAGGCAGAAGCCGGCCAAAGAAGACGAGCAGACGAGGAGACGACGGTGAATTAATAAATAGAGGCTGCCTCTGCCTCTTCTTTTCTTCTCTTCCTCTCTTCTCTCTCGCCATCGTCTGCTCTGCTCCTCTGTGGCGGTCCAAAGTGCTGCTAAACCGACCCTCTTGCTGCCCTGTCGTGCCTAGCCAGACCCATCGTCATCTTTTTTTTCCCACACACCTTTTCGCCCATTCGATCTTCGTCCTTCTTCCTCGTCCACCAACTTCAGCAACAAACAACAACAACAACAACACCGACAACAACCCGCCAGCGCTCGCACAACTCGACTCTCTCTCCCAACAGGACTCAACTCGTCGTCTATTCTTCGTTCTGCTGATAAAACCGTGCTGTACTTCTACTCGTATTTCCTTGTGACTCGCAAACTACGTCGATTCCGCCGTTCAATATGACATCTGAGGTACGTCTTTTTTTTTACCCCTCCCACAACCCGTTCCCTCGCGTCCGACAGAGACGCAGCAAGACCAGCAGAGCCGGCTGGGTTTGTTTTTATCTGCTGTTCTACTGCTTTGATATGCTCTGATACTGACGTCTCTTGACTTGTTTTTTGCAGCGTGAGAGGTAAATGATGGATTCCCGCGGGACCCTCCCTTTTTTCTTGCCTTGGATGGCCTGACTGACAGACGAGCAGCAAAACTTTCCTCGCGAGGCTCTGTGAGCAGGCCGAGCGCTACGATGGTAAGATAGTGACCTCCCGGGGACGAAGAGATGGCCTTTCTTCGCCCGTTCTGCCCGCGTCGTTGGGATAGTTTTGCTGACTGTTTGGTCCCTGGTGGCCGTGTGCAGAGATGGTTACGTACATGAAGGTAAGCCAGCCCAAGTCACATCCATCACGCATCACGCATCAGAACACCGCTAACAATCTCTCCAGGAAGTTGCCAGCGTATGTTTGACTCCTCCCGTTCACGTCTGGGGTGCATGTTCGACGTGATACATCTATCTGCACCCCCTGTGGCCCCTGGCGATAAGAACTAACCCTGCCTTGCCGCACTCTCTAGCTCGGTGGTGAACTCTCGGTTGATGAGCGCAACCTCCTCTCTGTCGCGTATAAGAACGTCGTTGGCACCCGTCGTGCCTCATGGCGCATCATCTCCTCCATCGAGCAGAAGGAAGAATCCAAGGGCTCTGAGAAGCACGTCCAGGCCATCAGCGAGTACCGCCAGAAGATCGAGCAGGAGCTCGAGCGCGTCTGCCAGGATGTACTCGATGTCTTGGACCAGTCTCTCATCCCCAAGGCCGAGTCTGGCGAGTCCAAGGTTTTCTATCACAAGATGTACGTTCTCCTTGATTCTGCAAAAAGATAGAAAAAAAGTATACTCATGCTTTACTACAGGAAGGGTGACTACCACCGTTACCTCGCCGAGTTCGCTTCTGGCAACAAGCGCAAGAACGCTGTCACTGCTGCCCACGACGCTTACAAGGTCAGTGCATTTACCTCCCGGGATCCAGGATCTCCCCCCTTTTTCTCCATCTGTTGGCCTCAATCTAACGTGCCTAGAACGCCACCGACGTCGCCCAAACCGAGCTAACCTCCACTCACCCAATCCGCCTCGGTCTCGCCCTCAACTTCTCCGTATTCTACTACGAGATTCTCAACTCTCCAGACCGTGCCTGCCACCTTGCCAAGCAGGCTTTCGATGATGCCATCGCCGAGCTCGAGTCTCTCTCTGAAGAGTCCTACCGTGACAGCACCCTGATCATGCAGCTCCTGCGTGACAACTTGACCCTCTGGACCTCGTCTGAGAGCGGTGAGCCGGAGCCAAACATGCCTCAGGGCCAGCAAGCCCCTGCTGAGGGTGCTACCGAGGAGAAGAAGACTGAAGAGGCCCCCGCAGATGATGCTGCTGCCAAGACCGAGGAGCCCGCCGCAGCTACCGAAGCTAAGAAGGAAGAGCCTGCTGCTGAATCCTAAACGGCGATTTCAACAGTCAGAAACCCAGGCTTTACAGGTGACCGAACTGGCACAACGGCAGAGATTATGAACGTAAAAAATTAACCAATATAAAAAACCAAAAAATTTCCCAAAAAAAAAAAAAAAAAAAAAAAAAAAAAGCCCATATCTCTCACCTTCCCATCGTCCCCGTATAGCCTTGATTCGTGTTCTATTCTGGCTCCCCTTTTTCACTTATTACAATATTCCCAACATCCGACTTCCATGTCAAATTCCCCCTTCTTTTTCCTTGTCTTTCCTTTCCTTTTATCTCAAGGGTTGTCTTATCTTCTGCTGGATCGGCGGAGTTTTTAAAGCACTTGGAGAAAGACTTTATGTCTGGACAGATCGGAATCCCCCTGTTATTTCTTTACACAATCCCCTAAACTACCCACTGCCTTCACTTTTCCCCCATACCACACACCACACCGCACACATTGCCCCCATTCCACTGGCACCGCTATCCAGTCTTGTCCTGCTTGTTGTCCTCGGAGCTTTGCGGCCCTGCTGAGTCAGCTATGCATCACATAAATACCAGTAACATGACCCTAACAAACTTGTACTGAACCAAGTTACTGCTTTCTGCTTTGACGTCCTGTCGTTACGAGCACTATCTATGCCGCTGGAGTAGATATTTGTGAATGCATAATCGGTTAATATAGTAGCTTTCACAGTGACAAGTTTATTATAGAAACAAAGCCCCTTTATACATATTCAGTGGTTTCTATAGATCAGTAGTTAAGTAGGGTCCCGGTTAAGGCTTGTTAAATCTATAATAACATATCTAGTACATATACCTCTTATATTACCTGTTGACACACAGGCTGAACCATCTGTTTCATCGATTCTGTACAAGAAAAAGCACCCACCTTTCGAGTCACTAACTAATATAAGGTTGATCTGCACTTAAAGCTTAGGTATAAGGATGGGGTTTCTATTCTTGGTGACAAGTCAACCCCATCTGATTAGACAATCTAGATTTCTCAGTTCCCCAATGGTAAATAGGTTGCTTTATCTATTAGTATATTTCAATAAATATCACAATATTGACTTCCTGGGCCTCTAACATTTTATACCCCTAGCCAAATGGTTCGAGTTTCAAAGTACAAACTGAACTAACAACTAGTTATCAACGATTGAAGAAAGGGGGGTATGGTGAATGACGGTCTAACTATGGAAATATACAGCAATTATTCGGGGTAGTATATATACGAGAGACATATTGTAACCAAGTAAGATGCAACACTCCGTACTGAAATGACTGGAATGCCTGGTTGCCAATAGAGTTAAGGCTGCGGGTTCAGCATCAGCCCTAACCAAACCTTGATGTCGCCGGCATCGTTACCGCAAACTTAAATTGTTCATAATGAGCTGGGTTGCATTGGGGGTGTTCTACCTACATTTGGAACTCAGGCAGAGCTATATAGCTGGATTGAGCGGCTTGAGCTAGTATGAAACTGGGAGGGACCTTAGAATTGTTAATTAAGTATTATAAAATGTCGTGTATTATATGCAAGGAGGACGTTCCATCGTGCTGACTAGTTGCTTAAATTTTCAAGAACCTCAGATACATTTGCAAAAGAAAACTCAGTCATGGTTTCTTCCCAGAGTAGCTCAGCCACCTCTTTGCCCTTATCTGTGTATACGAACGGCGCCATGCTACCAGGCCCGATTAGTATTTAACGCAGGGGTTAATGAAGGTTTGAATACTTACGGCTGTACCGCCCCGTCTTCTAGGTATTGTCCATGAGACTCTAAACCATGATTAACAACTGCATCGGTAATTGAGCGAGCACCAATAGCAGCGGTACGGGCAAAGACAAGTCTAAATATGCCGAACAGAATCCCTTGCAAGCTACCCTTGAAGTTCCTAGTTAAACTCGTTTGACAAAGACCTGGGTTAGGGGTATTTATGATGGCGATGGACGGAGGCAGCCGTTTAGCAAGCTGCGCTAGAAAAAGCTGAGCAAGTAGCTTGGATGTTGCGTAACGATCTTGTGGGTGAAAATTTTCCTCTCTGTCAAAAGCCGATAATAAAGGAACTGAAACTCTCTCCCTAAACCGCGCCCAGGAAGCGGTGTCCGAGGACACATTTACTAAACGTGCGGGCTGCTGAGCCGAATTTTTGTCCCTCAATACTGGTAGTATGAGGATAGTGAGTAGCGCGAGTGAGAAATAATTGACCTGAATGATCTCCTCGTGCCCGGTCTTCTCGTTTATCGCGAACGACGGCCTCGTAAAGGCTGCATTGTTGACAAAGAAATCTAACCGCTCAAGGCTTTTGGTTCGCTCCACGAAAGAAACAATGGAACTGTAGCATAGTAGATCCAGCTTCCAGACCTCGATGGAGTGGTTATCAGCATTTCTTCCGGAAAGTAGCTTTCCCCTTGCTTCTTCGCCCTTTGTTTCGTTGCGAACAGCAAGAATGAGCTTGTTTAGACCAAGATCCAGAAGCTGCTGTGCACATTCAAATCCAAGGCCGGTGTTTGACCCGGTGATAATAGCTGTTTTCCCTGCAAGATCTACTTCATCGGAAGAAGCCAGGGGCGGCATGGTGAATAGTTGGCGTTGATAAAAAGCGAGCGAAGTTGCCCGCTTCTGGATAACAGCTGCATCGAAACTTGTCATGGTGAGGGTATTTTTACCTCCCTCATCAAGATATCAATGAAAGCAAATCAATGAAAGCAAATCAGTAATTATCTGGAGATTGAATCTCTGTTTTTTGCGGGGCTGACAACTGAACAAGGGTATCTAGCGGACTCAGGGCAAACGCTTGGCCTGGGAGTCGAGTATTGAGGTGCCCGCAGGGCCATTTGTGTAACTCATCCTCATGATTCTCCCTTTTTCCAGCGTCGAGACACACTGGAAACGTCTTCGCTACCTGTAATCGTAAACCCGAGTATATGAATGCTTGGTCATTGGAACCGATGGTCCAAAGTAACTAATTTTGATGTCTAATCGTCAGTTACTGCGCCAATCTGTTTTGTTGAATTGTAGTTAATGAGCCTACAAACAACTCTTGACGGATGGCTATAAAGTTAAACCAGCGAAATACTATTCACTGAACTCATTTTTAAAAGAAAAATATATCCAGGATTCTCATCTTTTGTTTCAATATCATGAAGCTCGCTCGCTCAGGAAGGGAAGAGAGAGAGAGGATATCCAAAAAGGGGAAAGTGCTGCCTACCTAAGCAGAACTGCGGCTCAAAGTCACATGAATCCCACGTGGTATGTCACATGATGCATTAGTGATAAGCATTACACTATTCTATTTCCGGTAATACCAACACCGGGCTTACATCCGGCCGACGCCCGAAAAGACCACCTGGCCCGTTGATTCGAGCTTGCGGCGGCTTTTCTTTTCAAGCTGGGAGCGCAACAACATCTACATCGTCACTCTTCCTCCAGGTCACAGCAACGTCCTCAGCTGGCGTTCTCCTCTCCGGCTTCACTACGACCGAATTGGTGACAGAGCGGCTCTGTTATACTCGCTCGTTTGCTCGGAACAGCCTCCCCACCAATCTCGATCTCAACTACTTTTTTTTTTTGCGGGGAAGATCTCACTAACTAGTTATCTTTTACCGATATCCTCCTCTCCCTGCGGATCGTCGCGAAGAGCATAGCCTTTGCTCATACACTCGGGCTCTGAATATATACTGTCACTGTCTATGGGGGGATCGCACAAGCGGAATTGAGTGGCTGATTTTACCTTTTTTCTGGTTCTCGTCAGCTTTCGACCAGCTTCGATTTGTCAGCGTGAAATTCCCTTGAGGACACGGTACAAGATTGGAGCTCTGAGACTTAAATAAACTTGCGGCCTCTCCCCCTTCTCGCGCCTGGCGCAGAGCTTGAAGAAAGATAGACGACCATGGAGCGTTCGTTCCTTTCCACTCCCCAGGAGGTGTTGGCGCACTTCGGGGTGACAGAGGATGCGGGATTACCGGAAAGCCAGGTTGCTAAGAATAGAGAGAAATATGGCTCCAATGGTGTGTAACTATCGCATGAGAGAAGAATGTGGCTTGTTGTATTGTCTTGCTGACCCATTGTTACATTCAGCTCTCGAAGAAGAACCTCCGACACCTCTGTGGCAGCTCGTTCTAGAACAGTTCAAGGACCAGCTCGTTATTATACTGTTAGGATCAGCTGTGGTATCATTTGTGTTGGCCTTATTTGAAGAGGGTGAGGGTTGGACTGTCTTCGTGGACCCTATAGTTGTAAGTGTTATTTGATGGGATTGTTGGATGCAAGCGCTAATGTACTATAGATCCTTACTATCCTTATCCTAAATGCGATTGTTGGTGTATCTCAGGAAAGCAGTGCTGAAAAGGCTATTGCAGCCCTTCAGGAATACTCAGCCAATGAAGCCAAGGTTGTCCGTGACGGAGCTATCCATCGCATCAAGGCTGAAGAGCTTGTTCCTGGTGATATTATCTCGGTAGCTGTGGGTGATCGCGTCCCAGCTGACTGTAGATTACTCACTATTCAGAGCAATAGCTTCCGTGTTGATCAGGCTATTCTGACCGGCGAGAGTCAAAGCGTTTCCAAGACTACAAACGCGATCAAGGACCCCCAGGCAGTGAAACAAGACCAGATCAACTTGATCTTCTCCGGCACGACTGTTGTTACTGGCCATGCTACCGCTATTGTGGTTCTTACCGGCGCCAACACTGCAATTGGTGATATTCATGAGAGTATAACTGCCCAGATTTCGGAACCTACCCCATTGAAGCAGAAACTAAACAACTTCGGAGACTCCTTGGCCAAGGTTATCACTGTCATATGTATCCTTGTTTGGTTGATTAACATCGAACATTTCGGTGACCCTAGTCATGGAAGTTGGGCCAAGGGAGCTATTTACTACCTAAAAATAGCTGTCTCCTTGGGTGTGGCCGCTATTCCGGAAGGACTCGCGGTTGTCATCACGACTTGCCTTGCTCTCGGAACCAGGAAAATGGCTGCTAAAAATGCCGTCGTCCGATCCCTCCCTTCTGTTGAGACTCTTGGAAGTTGCAGTGTTATTTGCTCTGATAAAACAGGAACTTTGACTACCAACCAAATGAGTGTCTCCCGTATTGTTCATTTGAATGAGGCTGGTAACGCTCTTGAAGAGATCGAAGTCGAAGGCACTACCTTTTCCCCTTATGGTGACCTCAAACAGCATGGAAAGGTACTCAAGGACTTGGCTGCATCATCTACCACAATCCAACAGATGACCGAAGTTATGGCCCTTTGCAACGAAGCTGAACTTGCCTATGATACAAAGACTGGCACCTTTAGCAATATCGGCGAGCCCACCGAAGGTGCTCTCAGAACATTAGCCGAGAAAATTGGAACTGATAGCGCCGCTATTAATGCTAAAATCAGAAGTCTACCGCCCGCTGAATGTGTTCATGCTGTCAGCAAACATTATGAGACTAGATTACCAGTCCAGGCCACATATGAATTCTGCCGTGACCGCAAAAGCATGTCCGTCTTGGCCGGAAAGGGAAGAAGCCAGAAACTTCTTGTCAAGGGCGCTCCCGAATCGATACTTGAACGATGCTCTCATGCGATTACTGGACCAAACGGAAGTAAGGTCCCTCTCACGAAGCAGCATGTTTCGCTGATCCAACAGGAGGTCGCCGATTACGGTGACCAGGGGCTCCGTATCATTGCCATCGCCAGCATCGTCAACGTTCCTGAAACACCCTTGCTGCATACCGCTCAGACCTCGGAGGAATACGAGAAACTTGAACAAAATATGACCCTGATTGGCCTCGTTGCCATGCTTGACCCTCCGCGACCAGAGGTTCGTGCATCCATCGAGAAGTGTCGTGAAGCAGGTATTCGAGTTATTGTCATCACAGGAGATAACCAGCATACTGCTGAGTCCATCTGTTGTCAAATCGGAATATTCGGTAAAAATGAAGACCTTCGTGGCAAGAGCTTCACTGGCAGAGAATTTGACGAACTGAGCGAGCAAGGGAAACTCGAGGCAGCCAAGAATGGCATGCTCTTCTCCCGTACTGAGCCAACCCACAAGTCAAAGCTGGTGGATCTTCTACAGTCAATTGGCCATGTTGTGGCCATGACCGGAGACGGCGTTAACGATGCCCCCGCGTTGAAAAAATCGGATATCGGTGTTGCTATGGGCTCTGGAACAGATGTTGCTAAACTTGCAGCCGATATGGTGCTTGCAGATGATAACTTCGCTACTATCGAAGTTGCCATCGAGGAGGGAAGATCCATCTACAGCAATACCCAGCAATTTATCCGCTACCTTATTTCTTCAAACATTGGAGAAGTCGTTTCCATCTTCCTTACAGCGGCTCTAGGGATGCCCGAAGCCCTGATTCCTGTCCAGTTACTGTGGGTCAACCTTGTGACCGATGGTCTTCCTGCAACAGCCCTGTCATTCAACCCAGCAGATCATGATATCATGAGACGTCCGCCACGTAAAAGAGATGAGCCTCTTGTTGGAGGTTGGCTGTTCTTCCGCTACATGGTCATTGGGGTCTATGTTGGTGCTGCAACTGTCTTTGGTTATGCCTGGTATTTCATGTTCAACCCAGAGGGCCCTCAAATTTCCTTCTGGCAGTTGGTAAGTTTGACCTTTCTCTTCAATAAATCGCCAATCTTAAACCCGATCGAATACTGAACTCTACCTTTAGTCGCATTTCCACAAATGTTCCAGTGAATTCTCCGAGATTGGTTGTGACATGTTCAGCAATGACATGTCAAAGTCCGCCTCCACCATCTCTCTCTCCATTCTCGTTGTGATTGAGATGCTGAATGCCATGAACGCTCTCTCTTCCAGCGAATCTCTTTTTACCTTCCCTCTGTGGAACAACATGATGCTCGTCTACGCTATCATGCTCTCCATGTCCCTCCACTTCGCCATTCTATATATTCCCTTCCTGCAAAGTTTGTTCAACATCCTACCACTTAACTGGCTGGAGTGGAAAGCTGTTCTGGCTATTAGTGCGCCGGTTATTGTTATCGACGAACTTTTGAAATATATCGAAAGGGCCCTTTACGTGACGCACGTTACTCCTGACCACGAGGCTGAGTCCCAAAACGGATCTAACATGAAGCCAAAAGCGTCATGAAATCAAGCGTAGTGGTGTTGTGGTGGAAAGCTCTTTGTACTTTGATGTACGTCCTATGATTGAAGAATCTCTATTCTTCCGAACAATGTTCTCCAGTCCTGCTATCACCCAGATTCCCGCCCCAGTCAGTGCAAGAATGCCCTCTCCCCAGCGAGAAAGAAGGAGCGCGAGTAAAATGGATAGGGAGGAAGCACAGCGGGGAAACAAGACATTGGTATTATAAGCTTCTACCGTGCTTGGTTTTGGCTTTGGTTTGATTTTCCTTGATTATAGAAAATAGATTCATTTTCAGCCATAAAGGTGGAGAGGGGCACGTTTTTATTTTATCTTACTTCTATTTTATTTTATTTTTTCTTAAGATTCCTACATGTTCTCAAGAAGTGTAAGCTATTTGTGATGAAGTTATATAGTCGTGATACCAATGGACATATTTAGACACATTTCCTGTGTTCACTCGACCGAGCTCCATATGGTGTGGACAAAATACTCGGTCGATTATTTCCACTTAGCAAGCGCCTCTACTAGCCGCGAAGGAACCAT